TTTTTTGGTTTTTCTCCGGTACTGGGAACCAAACTCACGACCTTGCGCTTGCCAGGCAGGCGCTTTGCCGCTGAGCTAAATCCCCAGCCCCATAAAAGTCATTTCTTACTAATTTAACAAATCATCTTTTGAAGAAGAGAAACTGAGTATGAATACTGAATAATATGTAATAGAGTGTTAAATGACTTAACGTTTTACTTTTCTCTTAGTGGGCAATAAATATCTTTTATATTTGTTAGAAACACTTTGAAATACTATACAGTCCATAAAGCATGAGTCATAAAGCATGATAATGTGAAAGTGGGATTTAATTGTCAAATCAGTAATGAGAAAGACTGAGCAATGAGCTGACTGTACCTTTAAAAAATTTTTTTCTGACCGAGGTATAATTTACCTATGATAACTGAGTCTACTTTAAGTGGGTTTGATGAATTTTGGTAAGTGTATACAGCCATGAAATCAACACACAATCAAGATATGCATCATTTATTTCCATCACCCCAGAGAGATCCCTTGTGCCTTTTGCTAAGGAATATTCTGTTCACAACATATAATAATAAACATGTGGTAATGGTGTTCAGGTTAAGATGAACTACTTAGGATTCCAATTGCTTCTACAGGAGAAATAAAAGTGATTTTCTGAAAGTTAAATGAAATACAGATAATCCTTTGCTTAAATAATGCATCAGTCAAGGTATTCCACCAGGCAAGAAAGTAAGTTATCTGGGTAGTAGGTACATGAGAGTATATATATGGATAAGTTCATTAAGCTAAATGCTATTTTCTATGCAAGTTACAACTGAATTTTTTAAAAAGAAAAAGATCATAATCCCATTATTTAAAATATACATATATGGAAAAAAATTTTGGTATAAAATCTTAACAGTGGTTTGATTTAGAATATTTCTTACTCATCCATAAATTACACACACACACACACACACACATACTGCATTATTTACAAATTTATTGTCCTGATATCCTTTTTTTGGTGGTCACACTGAGAATGGAACCCAGGCTTCTGCATTCCCAGCCCTTTTTGATTTTTTAATTTTGAGAGAAGTTCTTACTAAGTCACTACGTTGCCCAGGCTAGGCTCAAACCTGTGATCCTCCTGCCTCAGCCTGGCAGGGTGCTGGGATTACACACGTGCATCACCATGCCCATCTTATACTGATGTCTTTTTTTCATCATGAGAGAATCCACAGGAAGCTTGAAAATGGAAGGAAAGTTCTTTGGAAGAACTGAGTTAGCAAGAAAGGCCTTGCAGGCCCTGAGGCCCTGCAGGCTGGTGCAATTAATCCTACTCCCTTGTCTAAGAGTCTACTCCCTCCCTCACTTTACTGGGCTTGGTTACCCAGCTTTGCCTGGTCTCCTTAACTTCAGAGCTCCAGGTGAATGACAGTGTAAGCAAATGTGCTAGACTGGGAAACCAAAGGCCTGTGTTCTGGCCCCAGCTCTGTGACCATCTAGATCTGTGTCCCAAGCAAATAAATAATTTCCTTCATGTTAAATGAGATGGTGGCATGAACAGATGCTAAAACTACTGGTGAAAGTTTGGTGAGAAATAGTTCCATAGTATCTAGATAACGCCCCCAAGACACTGATAATTACAAAAGAAAAATATTACCTTTATGCTGGATAAACTTCAAAGTCATTACCTTAGTCAAATGATCAGTGAACATCACCAGGAAGGAGATGCATGACTGACTGTGCTTCCTGATATGACACACAGTGCAGGGCACAGAATCTCTCCTCTGGCATCTCTGCCACCAAATACACACTTGAATCTCTTGAATCTAATCAGAAGGAAATATCAGAGAAACACATATTGAGCAACACTATATACAATAAGTGACCTATTAAATATCTGGCTCTTCAAAACTAGCAACTTCATGAAAGATGAGGAACCACTCCTGATTAAAGATTAATGGGATGTGTCAACAAAAAGGACCATGTGATCCTGGGTTGGATCCTGAAATAGAAAAAGAAAAGTTGCTATAAAATGACATTATTAGTTGAACTCTGAATATCGATGGGATTAGACAATAATATTAAATCAGTGTTAATTGCTTGACTTTAAAAACTGCTAGCTACATAGGACAATATTCTCAAGAACCACCTATTAAAATATTTGTTAGTAAAGGAGCATTACATCTGCAGCTTAGTCTCAACTATTTGAGAAAAAAGGGCAAGAATGATATGTATTTATAATAAAACAAATCACACCTACAACACAGGGAACACGTGCATACACCACGTGCACACACAGCTTCATCTAGGTGAATACAGGTAAAGGATAAGTAGGAGACCACAGTGATATTCTTGTAAGTTTTCTGAGTAAAAAGTTCTTTAAATCTACAGACATAGTAGTTCTATAAATCTTGTTGCCACCACCATTCTGAGAATTTAGGGGCTTTTCTGCCCTTGGGTCATGATGGAATGAATTTCTCATATTCCCAGAGGTCAAGTGAAATGGTAAAAATGACAGGGGAGCAGATCAGTCTAGGAAGGACCAGCAAGAATGAGGCAGTGGGTTGGCCACATCCTATCCCACAAGATAGTAGAATCCACTGAGTTAGAGACAGATGACCCTTACCCCAAAAGAACATGCTTACCATACCTACACTGAGACTGGGTCTTCCCTTGCCTCTCCCTTTACTCTGTCTCACCGGATCTTGGGCCCAACTCTTCCCCCATCATTTAGCCATGGAGAATCCTTGGAAGGAGTAACACACTCCAACTGGGAGCTGCTCAGCTTCCAGTTCAAGGATGATGCCACTTCTTACCTAGAAGTCTTTGCTTTGGAAAGAGATTGGTACCTTCACCCAGGATTTGTCATACAAGGATTCTTATCCCAAGTTTCCTTCTTCTACACTAGAGGTAGGTCTTTAAGCCCTCAGAGTTCCATCTCTAATTAGTTTTTCTCAGCTACAACCCCTGGCAGGGCCTTCTATAGATACGAGTAAGGTTCTGCAGCCCTGAGAAGCTACAGAACCCTACTGTCCAGCAAAATGACAGGATCCAAAGGTCTGCAGTCTACCCAGGCAACTTGAAGATACACAGATCCCACGATTAGTATCATCTAACTGGCCCTCCCCAGATACTACTGGAGCCAGGGGTGCGGGGCTCAAGAGGCCTCTGTAAGAGATACTACTGAGTGATATCTCTGCTCTGAGTTTGGGGTAGGGTAATTTTCTGGAAATACTTTGGGCCTGGGAGTGGCAGACACAAGTCTAAAGCCAAGCCAGTTCTTGAAAATCTAGGTCAAATGTCTTACCTCTCTAAACCTGTTTCCTCAACTGTGCAAATAGGAACACGCTATCAGAGACTCAGAAGCCAGACAGCCTGGGTTCAAATGCAGGCTCTACCATTTATTGGTGATAACACTGTATGTGTTATTTCGTCTCTCAGTGTCTTGGTTACCCCATCATTTATTTTATTTTGCCATCCTATGACCTACAATGAGGAAAAAAGATACTTTGCATATAATATCTATTCTGTTTATGCTGTTAACCCATGTTTTTACTGAAGTATTCATTTTCAAAAATTTGTAAGTGTTTTTTACATTTTGAGGCTATTTGACATATACATTACACATATTTTCATCATTCGGCATTTTTCCTTAAACTGGGCTTACAAAAATTAAACAAATCTTTTTGAGTTTTTGAAGTAGTCACCTTGTTAATTTTTCCCCTTGGAGTTTCTGCTTTTGGTAGCTGTTATTGCTTGTATCTAGTGTTCCCCCAAAGCCTCCTGAGCTCATAGGTGGGGCTTTCAGGAGGTAGCTGGATCATGGGTGTGATACTGGGATTAAGGGTGTATGGCACAGGATTAGTCTGCTGATAGGTTTAGCATAGTTCTAGGTAAGGATAATAGGAAGCCCCACCCTGTGTGTGGGCAGCATCAACCAATAGCTTGGACTGAAAATAAGGGAAAAAGAAGGAAGGCAGGCATGCTGCTCACTGCTGCTTTCTACCTGCCCTGCTATGGACTGTTTCTCCTCTGTAATGACTCTCTATCATGCCACTCTGCCTCAGAGCCAGATGACCGTGACCTGCAATCTCCATAAACTGTGAGCTCAAATAAACCTTGCCTCCTTTTACCTGTGGGTGTCAGGTATTTTGTCCCAGCAGCAAGAAAAATAACTAGGACAGTAGCATTCTTAGGAAAGTCTTTTCCACAGATTATAAAGATATTGGTCTTTTTGGCTTATACGATTTGCTCTGTATGCTGATAGTAGGAATGTAAATTCAAACTTTCGGAGGGGTCTTTATAACACAGTTTTAAGAGTACACATCCTGTAAACTACTCTTCAACATCTAGTAATGTATCCTAAATAACTAATTGGTCTAATGGGGAAAAAAAGATGAACACACAAGGATTTTCATCTTAGATTTGGTTATAAAAACAAAACAACTGGAAGCAAGAAAAATACTCTGGTAATTAAAGGATGGGCTCACTGATAATGGTAAGCCACAGAATGGAACACAAGATAGATATTAGAAATAATAACAGAAACTGGGTGTGTGTCAGGGGGGACGATAACATCTGGCACTGTGAGAAGCTGAGGCAGGAGGACGTTGAGATTGAGCCCAGCCTGGATAACTTAGTAACACAGCAAGATCCTGCCTGGGAATAAAATGGGGGACTGAGGATGTAGCTCAGTGTGAATGTCCTGGGTGCAATCCCCAATACCACACACATACATCAAAACACAGAAAAAATAATTGAGAAGTATACTCACTGACTTAAAAGAGCACTTGTGACTCATATTAAAGTAGGAAATGTAAGTTTTAACATACAATGTGAAAGCATGATTCCATTAATAAAATTATGTAAGTCTAAGTCTATTAAAATATTCCTTTTTTTGAGAAAAAGAATTGGAAGGTGTAGGGGACGGCAACCCTTAGCATATCATTTTAAGATAGAATAATTCTAGTCTTAGTGCAAGCCTCAAAACATGACTTGAGAAACATCCCAGAGGGGTTATAAAAAGTTAACTTTGCAGTCCTGACTTTGCCCTGGAATGCTTCTCCAAAGACAAAGAACACCTGGGCCCAGATAACCACCTATGGCCCTGCCTGGGTCACTTCATCCCTTCCCTGGCCCTAGATAAACATTGTAACCATAAAGGAAATATATGGTTATCTAAAGGGGGACATATAGAACAGAGTACAGAAAGTATAAATCACTGTGGTTGGGCTGATGACCAGAGCCTGACCCAGTCACGTGGCACAAGGAAAACAATGTGTGGCCAGGGCTACAACATTCCAATCTGTTACCATGGAAACCAAAAATGTATATAAGATGGGAACAAAGGCAGGCAGAGGCCCACATTTCTGCAAGTCAGGGATGAGCATTGACCAGTCTAAATTTATTTAACAAATTTTGTTTGTTCTAAATAGAGTCCTTCGGTCTCTTGTGGAATACAGCCTGATTTTTGCCATTACAAAAAAATTTTACCTTTTAATGTTTTATTTTTTGACTTCACCAATATCCTCATGATTTTATGTTTACTGAAGTATTAGCAATAGTAACAACGCCAACAAAATGATAAATCAAAATAATCATAGTTTCACACAGAAATGCAAATGGTTCTTGGAAAAGAACAAATAAAACTATGACACATCACAGAAACTCAGAAGAAAAAAAAATTCAGTTGTATAGTTGTATTTACTGAGCCTTGACCTCAAGTCAAGCACTACACTATGTTATTTCCACATAATGATTCATTCAATTCTCATCTTGCCCTCTAAACCAAGTACTATTCCCATTACAGATCAGACATAGCACCTAGACAGATGCAGTCAAATGCTGTACCACTGAGCTATACTCTCAGTGCCTAGAGAGATGAAATAACTAGGAAATAGCAGTACTGAAATTCAAGCCCACTTAACCTGGCTGTCGAACTTGTGTTTATAACTTCTCAGTTTTGTCACCTCTCAAAGTGAAGATACTTTTTGTCTTCTAAAGCATGATAGAACATCTCATATGCACACTGAATGGAAGTAAAATCACCTCTAGCTATATATACAAGCTAAACTATGAAGGAAGGAAATAGTAACTGGATGCATATAGTGACACTATGGAGAATTTGTTTTTCAATTTTCTTCAACAATGAGATAGACTTAGGCTAGAAATTTTTCTTTTTTAATTAAAAACTGATTTTTTTTTTTTTTAACCAGAGCTGCCCATCTGTCCTTGGTCTAGTATGAGGGACAAAGTTACAATGCCATCTGCTCTGATTTAAGTAAGTCAATGTGAAAAACAAAGTTCCCTTCACTTTTCAGGCCTGATTCCTCCTCAAAACTGAGCAACTATGAGGAGAATCCAGTTGAAAACAATACCAATCATTATCTTTCTTGATAAAGTATCAATCTTTGGTAGGGTATGATGTGGTTGTCTCTAATCCCCGCACTCTGTGAGGCTGAGGTAGGAAAATTACAAGTTTATTTGGTTTTTTTTTGTTTTTTTTTTTGTTTTTTTTTTTTGGTTTTTCTCCGGTACCAGGAACCGAACTCACGACCTTGTGCTTGCCAGGCAGGCGCTTTTGCCGCTGAGCTAAATCCCCAGCCCCAAAATTACAAGTTTAAGCAAAGGCCAAGCAACTTGGCAATTTAGTAAGACCCTGCCTCAAAATAAAAAATAAAAAGGGCTAGGGTATAGCTCAGTGCAAAGGCCCTGGGCTCACTCCTCAGTACCAAAAAATAAGGGGTGAACCGATCTTGGAATCTCAGTAAGCAGTAGTACCAATCAATTAGTCATTCAAACAGCATCATTGCATTCATTGAACACATAATTGTGATTCACAACACTGATCATCAACTCAAAAGCCACATGTTACTATATACTAGATACCATCACCTAAATGTTCTCAGTCACAAATTATTATTATCATCATCATCATTTTTTGTGGTGCTGGGGATTGAACATGGTATCCTACACATGTTAAACATGTGCTCTTCCACTGAGTTACATCCCTAGTTTCGTAGTTACAAATTTAAAACCAGATCACAGATCTCTCCTTGCCACCCATAAAACACAGTATCTTCTTTCTCAACTTATTCTTTCTCTTGGATCACAGCCTTTGTCACTTGAATCTAAGTTTTAAAGCTTTGTCTGGCATGTTCATTACTTACAGCTTTGGGGAAAAAAAGCCCTTACTACCCTTAAACATGTCAGCTTGCATATTAACTATACAATGTTTCTGTTACAATCTGAAAAAAAATTGCCTAACAGATTTTTCTTGACACTGCATCAAATTTGTCCATTCATATAAGAAAATGCGGCCAATAGTGAAAGATACTGAGCCTTCCAATTCCAGAATGAGATTTCTGCATTTATTAAAGAGTTTTATGACACCTAAAATCAATTTTATATTTTGTTTTCATAGGTACTCCAATATCCTTTTTATATTGATAGTCAATTGAACTCTTAGCTGCTATTCTAAACGGCTTAATTTTTTCACTTAATTACCCATGGCAGTAGAAAAATTTTCCATCCATATTCTTTTTTTTTTTTTTTTTGGTGTTGTTCTTGTTGTCATAAAACCCAAGATATTGTTCATGCTGGGCAAGAGCTATCTCTCACTGAGCTATATCCTACATACCCAGTCCCCATATTAATTTTTAACCAGCCACCTTCCTAAACTTTCTTTGATCCTATATTCAAGTGATCCTTCTGCCTAGGTTACCTGGTAGGGGCTACCGCCTCATGCTATGAGCAGTTTAACTTTCTTAACTACAATGTTTTTAGAGTTAATCCTCTTGAACTTTGGGAGTATATAGTTACTTCACCCACAAATACTTACGTTTTTCCTCCCAACATATTTATCTTCTTATCTCACTCCTGATTAAATGCCCTGGCTAACACTCTAGAAGAAAGCAAATCATATCAGGGACAAATTGTTTCCTTTTTTTCTTTTAAGACAGGGTCTCTCTACATAAATTGCTAAATCGCCCAAGCTGGATTCAAACTTGCAGTCCTCCAGCTTCAACCTCTCAGAAGGCTGAGGTTACAGGTGTGTGCCACTATGCCAGGTTAGAAATTCCTCACTTGATTGGGAAGTCTGCTATTGACTTTCAATTTGTAGTACAGAAGGTTTTATATTAAGAAAGTAACCACTTAGTCTTACTTTACTATTGCATTTAAAAAACGCATTCAAAGCTGGGTATGGTGGCACACACTTGTAATCCCAGCACTTGGGAGGCTGAGGCAGGAGGATCACTGTGAGTTCACAGCCAGCCTAGGCCTGTGTAGTGAATTCAGTGCCTGCCTAAATTTTATAGTGAAACCCGGTCTAAAAAACCAAAATAATAATAATTCCAGAACAGATGTTGAATTTTATCAAATGCCTATCTATGAGGTAACTGTATAGTGTTCTTCCATGGCCTTACTAATATGGTGAAATTCATTAATAAATTATTTAAATAATATTGAACTTATATTTTAGGATAAATTTTCTCTCAATCGTAAGTAATTTTATAGCACCTGCTTAGTAACACCAAGCTTCTCAGTTTAATTCCCCCTACCAAAAAAGTTAATATGTTCATATATATAGATAAAAAATTATTTGTGTGCAATAAGCAAAATGTTAATCATTGCAGAATTTGGATAAAGGATATAACAGGAATATTTGTATTATTCTTATAACTTTCCTAAATCTGACATTTTTAAAAGCAAAACAAAATGAAAACCTCATGTTTGCAGGCCGGTGAGCAAAATGAAAGACCTATAAGCTGAAGGAGTAAGTCTGCTATTTTAGCAGACTGGTCACCTGGGATATGAGGGACAGATATGTGTCCTTTACCTCAGAGTAAATGTACCATCCACCAGAATTGCTGCAAAAGACTCATCCAGGAACATGTAGCATTTGTTTAACCATTATCCTTTGGCCTCTGGGCATGCAACCATAATAGAGGCTCTTTTTCATGCTGTGTTACTCAGGTCTCTGCAACTAATGGTCAGTGCCTAAAAGGTAAGAGATCTTGACCAAGGAACTCCTAAATTTCCTCCAAGCTACCTACTGAGAAGAGGCTACCATAACTTATCAACTTCATAACAGGACACTAAACCCAGCATCCTCAAGATCTACTTCACTGATCGTGTTCTTGGCTTTCAGAGGGAGTAATAGAGAACAGCCAATAGCAGACATATTTGGGCTTCAGATTATTTACTGTACATGATTCAAGTTCAGTAATATAAAATTCGATATATATTGAATTTATGATTCAATTCAAATTCAAAAACAGACAAAACAACCCAACAATCCCAGTACTGAGTATATAACCAAAGGAAATCAGTAAGTCAGAGTTATCAGTCCTCCCATATTTACAACAGCAGCACTATTTACAACAGCCTAGATTTAGAATAAACAAATGTCAAAAAACAGATGAACGGATAAAGAAAATGCAGTATGTATATACAATGGAATAAGATTCAGCCAGAAGAAGAGATGAAACCTGCCATTTACAAGATGGATGAACCTGAAGGACACTTAATGTTAAGTAAAATAAACCAGACACACAAAGACAAATACTATATGACCTCATACATATGAGGAATCTAAAAAAGTTGATTTCTTTGAGGTAGAGAGTAGAATAATGGATACTAGAGACTGGGAAGGGGCAAGAAGAAGGAAGAAGGGAGAGTTGGTCAATGGGTACAAAGTTACAAGTAGACAGGAGGAATAAGTTCCCCTGTACTATTGCATAGTAGAGTGATTATAGTTAACAACAATTCATTATGCATATCAAAATTCCTAGAGGACTCACTAAAAGCTCTTACCACAAAGAAAGGACAACTACCTGAGGTGATAGTCATTACCTTGATTTGATTATTATACAATATATACATATATTAAAACATCACATTATATCCCATAAATATATATAATTCTTATGTGTCAATTTAAAAAATAATTTAAGAGCTCAGCATAGAAGTATAGGTTTGTAATCCCAATATTCAGGAGGCCAAGTGGGGTGGATTGCTGTGAGTTTGGGGCCAGCTTGAACAAATATTGAGCTCAAGGCCAAACTGAACTACATAGAGAGACCCTGTTTCAAGAAACTAAAATAATAACAATAATTTTTAAAACACAAAACTACTCCACAGTACGGTATTAAACCCAAGTACCTCTAGACTGGCAGTGGGTACTAACTAGTAGAGAAGCCTTCAAGTTGATAGAAATGGTGTATATAT